ATTTTTTTATTATGTAATATTTTGCGGAATTTTCGAAAAACTGCGTTCGGATACTTTCTTCCAGGTACTGTATATTAGTATTAATATTACTTTATAATCAATTCATAAATAGAACATTATGCAAATTTCTTTGAAAGGTTTAACTTTCTCTAATGTAATGGTATCAAATATAATACTAGCACATTAAAAGCAGTAGTGGCAGTAACAATAGCAGTAACAATAAGCAATAGAACAAGGATGAGATGGTAGTGGTAATAGTAATATTGGATAAACTCTCGCGTATATATATACACATTAAATTTTATTCGTTGTGATCAACGTTACACATTCCATATAAATCTTGATAATACATGTCATCTCAAAAAATAACCAGTAACCAAGATTCCCTTTTATTATATATTTTCCTTTAAAAATTAAAAATTAAAAATAATAAAATAAAAACAAAAGTGAACCAATTATTATTTTTTGTTAAGGAATTTATTTACTTCTTAAATAATATTTTGATAAGTTTGTTGGTTAAATTTGGTTAATAAAGTAATTAACGGAATTTTGGATCAATTGCATCCAAAAATTCAAATTAAAAATCATTTTTTTCACCTCTATTTTAAGTAACAAAAATTAATTCATTATCGGCAAACTACATCAAAAATAAGTGTATATGACGATTTTGCCCCATTGTTCTTATTTCACAATGTATCATATTTATTTATATATTTGGTAACACAGTTAGTATTTCGGCCTTTTTTGTTCAAGAAGGGAAATAAAATTGATCATCAAGTCCGTTTTATTCTTATATATATATACTACAAAGTATTGGAATATTTAAGCATGAATTAAGAAGTGAAAAAAATTTTATTAAATTTTATTTTTTTTTATTTTTATTTTTTTGAAAAAAATTAAAATAAAAATAAAATAAAACCAAACTGTAATCATTAATATTATTATCTAAATAAATACACATTCATTCGACTCAATTTCAACTTCTTCAATTTCATCACACCATCATCACCCTTATACCATGACTCATACAAGCGATTTTTCATATTTATGTAAGTTTAAAATTTCATTTAAATTCATTTTCAACATGGTCCGATAATTTCAATAATAATAATAATCAAATTTTAAATTTTCTTTTTTTTTTTTTGAAAATAAAAGCCCGTGCGATGTCCACATCATATACTTCACTTTGGTTTTTACAACACGTTTGGTTTATTGATAGGTTCGCATCATTGCGGTGGAATCGTGTCAAAAGATTCGAATTGGTAATAATAATAATAATAATAATAATAATAATAATAATAATATAAATACCTCGTAGAAATTTTGAATTAATTAAAAAAATTTCGTTTCGTTATATTTTTTTAGAAATCGGTAATAACATTATTGTTGTTGTTAGCATGTCCATTGGAAGCAATATATGATATTTCAATAGTAATTATCAAATATCAAGAAGGATATTTACCGAATCCTTCTAATCAAGGTGAATACAAATCGAAACCTCAATCACTTTGGAGTAAAGAAAATCAAGACTTTGTTGTGCCAATAAATTACGTTCTTTGTGCCACTCTCAGTGTCCAAACGTAAATATGCTTCTTCTATATATAATTTTATTATTTAATTGATTGATCGACTAATTGGCTCATTTGGATTTTTTAGTTGCTTGTTATTTTTATTACAATCATTTTGGAATTATCTCGCAAGTAATTTGACAAGATCATCATTTATGGGAAGTCTTGGTAAGCAAAAAAAATTGATTTAGAAAATTCAAAAAAAAAAACAAAGTTATTAATTAAATAGCTAATAATTGACTTCTTCCAAATCATTCTAGAATTTAAATTATATATTGTGTTTTCAATATGCAGCGCAATTCTCTTCCCTACATTACAATTTTTTTTCTCGTCAAATCCATTAAATTCTGAGATTGCACCACAATTTGCATACGGTATAATTATGTTGATAATTGCATTGCTAGGATTTAGATCTGATCATAAATTTAAAAAACTATTAATGCAAACAAGACGCCTAAATCCAACAGTTAATATTCTCAGTAAATTAAATTATTTCAGAGTAAGTATTAATAATTAATTTTATTTCGTTTTCTTTAAGGAAAAATTGTTCTAATTAATTAATTTATTTATTTACTCGTAATAGTATATGAATCAATATTTAACATTGGGATTGCTTTCAGGATCAGCATCACTTACAGTGTTATCAATTGATGGATTGACAACAGCCAAATATTTAAATGCCACCAAAATCTATGCAGATTTACTTATGGTTCAATTGAATTTTTCAATTTGGGCTGTATTTGTCTCTTTAATGTTAATATTTTATCCAGCAAAAATTAATGATACTCCATCATCGCCCATTAATAACAACAATAATATGATTAATAGTAATAATAGTAATAATAGTAATGTTCCATCAACACCAAAAATATTATATTCACCTACAATTGATAGATCAACAACACCATCAATAAGGAATGGTGATTATACAATTAAAATAACAGATAATGAGAATAATAATAAGAATAAAAATTTATTAAATGTTGAAAATTCTTTTGATGATGGAATGAGTGGATCTACTGTGGCTTTCAATAAAAAATCAAATAGATTTAATTTTCTAAAAAAATTTAGATTTTAAATAGATTTTACTAATTTTCTTTTTGTAACATAGTCATTATTTTATATTAATTTGTAAAAAAGCTTTTCTTATTTAATGTTTCTATAATAATAATTTTCAATGCAGTAAAAATACACCATCACATACATAAATCAATTAACTCACCTCAATTAACCCACCAATCACACATCACATTCCATCAATATATATACTAAAATTATCCAAAAATAAAAACCTTTAAAATTTTTTCTTTAATAAATATATCTTTGAAAGAATATAATTTTTAAAAAATCTCACCGGAAGTAATTTCCATTTGACAATCTTCCCATATTCTTCCCAATATTTACCATACTTTCCCCTACAACGTGCATCATCTCTCCAAATACGATGAACCAGCAAAATTGTCATGTAGATTATATAAAAGTAAGGTAATAAATGATTAAATCCACAGGTAAGGCACATGGCAAAAGAAATCAATAAATCTCCAACATAATTGAAATGACGTGAAATTCCTGTTTTTATTGATTTTCCCATAGAAAAAAAATTGTTAAATAAATCCCTTCTAATTGTCAACATTATTATAATTAATACTTGCCCCAGTATCCACTAACAAGTAAAAGACTTGAATGGATTTTTCCATCACTTGTTAAATATTGTGTTTTGATAACTTTGGCTGGTTTTCCCCAAATCTTACAATTACCATTGGTTTTTCTTACAACATCTTTTTGATGATTGACTGCTCTAAAAATATAATATCCTGCCAATCCAATCGATAGAATAACAAAGAAATTCACCCAAGGCAAATCTACTGTATTTCTAACTAAATAATGTGATTGTATTGTATACTATACAAATATACAAATTTATATATGTGTGTGTGTATGAAATAACAGAATCATTATAATTAAATACAATATTAAAAGCCTTACCATCCACGGAAGCCACACAGTATCACCCCATGATAAATAAAATCCAAAATGATCATGTGCAATATCTAATATTTATATATGTGCATACATATTATGTTTATATTTTTATATACACATTGATTATATGCATGTAACAGAATATTTACCAATTGTTCTAAGATACCAATCTTCGTTATAAAAGAAATCCAAAACATAAACCAAGTGCAAAAAATTCAATAAAATCATTGAATTCGTTACATACCCTAAATATATACACATGCAAAATATGAGTATGTATAGTAATTAATATGATCAAATCCATCACACCAAAAAATTAATATAATACCAATTTTGTTATATTGAGCAGCAGCAAATGAGAGATTTATTAAGGTCCAAGCAATTATTCCAGGCCTTCCATTATGAAACAGTTTGAAATCCCAATATTTTCCAAATCTTGGATTCATCTCAATACCCATCAATAGATCATAGATAAAACTGCCAGAAAATTTACGATCTTCTGGATGTGATGGACTTACATATGCTTTGATGTAAACAAAGAATGTAAGGAAAAACCCGTAGATATTTGCTGCTACAAACAATTCTCCCCATTTATCATGGATGATTGATGCTTTCCATAATTCAAAATAAAATGCTCCAAAAATAAAGATCAAATGCGTTACAACCCATGCCAAAAGCCCATTCACCTATATTTAATTATATTTTCATTTATGAATAATATAAACAAATTATTATAGTCATCATCATAACAAAATTACTTTATATGGTAGAATATGTCCTGCTGGTGTTTGTTGTCCATAACCAATTTTGGCTGGTAAAAATGCATAAAGTAATCCTTGGAAAATCAGCCATCCAAAATAAATCTGCAGCCCTTCCCACGAAAAACTTGGTAGTTTCTGTAGAAAATACTCATTAAAAGATTCCTTGGAAAATTCCATCATTTCAAAAAGATGAATTGGCTCGTAAAATGAACATTGATAGTGAGTACAAATGGTCCAAAACAATGTCACAAGAATTGGACAACAAATAATTATAATTGCTGAAAAGAATACAGTGATATACGTTATATCTATACATTCAAGCACGTAAAATTATGAAATTAGGAAATTAAAAAATTTAAATTTAAATTTAACTCGATAATTTGAACGAAAAATTTGCAAATACCTTTATCTCGACCCCACGTCTTTCCTGTTTGTGCCTTCAATTCTGCTTTAGTCAAACTTTCATCAATTACTGTATTTGAAATGTTTCTTTTCTTTAGAGAAGACATTTTTTTAAAATTTTTTTTTTTAAAAAAAATGTTGATCAAACGTCTAAAAATTTTTAGTATTAGATGAAATCACAAATTAAATTAAAAAATTACTATTAGTCGAATATTAAACGATTGGGAAGTGTATTTTCCGAAATTTTTTGTGATCAACGTCTAAATTCTATTAATAAAATTAGCCACAAACCTTAATTTTAACCCTTTTTGCTCACCAATCTCCACCATAGATTTTTCAAAAAATTAGGAGAGGTTATTAAGGGTAGAGGATCTACATAGTACAAAATTAAATATGAAAATTGTCCATAAAAATTCTCGTGAATATATTTGTTTATAAAATTATATAGAATAGAACTATAATTTCAACTGTATGTAAAAAAATTAAAAAGTTAATATTAAAAATAAAGACTTGTATTATCAACCAATTTAAAATTCTTAGCAAATGTCTAAATAAGTTAGCGAATGTATAAGTTAAACATACGGAATGACTGTTAAAGTTGCAAAAGTTTATTTTAATAAATAGAAAAAAATCTTGGTGCTAAAGTTTATCAACCAAATTACCGCATTTGGAAATTAATTATCTATTTTTGCCCACAATTTTTTCCTTTGTGTTATAAATAAATTTATCAAAATTTAGTATGTTTTTTGGAGTTTTTTGCCATTTTCACTAAATTTTAATAAACAACAATCCACATAAAGCTATACCTAAATGAAAACTTACAATATTTTACATCTCTTCAACCACTCATCAAGTTTGTAAAGGTAATATTGGTAAAAAATCTTAGCTTTGAAGTAAAAAGTAATGCTGTTTTTGAACAAATATAGCTTGACATAGAGAGCCTCTATAAATATGGGAGAGGGCTAATTAGAAAGCTATAATGACATAGTTTTATCTTTGATTAATAATGATGTTTGAATTTGTTATAAAAATAATGGGATATTTTAAAAAACTGATTTGTTACACGAGTCGGATTTTCTATTTTATATATGTAATTACACATCCTGTGACATATCGTTTGACTTCTATTATTACACGAAACTAATTAAACGAGTTTTGTTTTTATTATAATTTATAATAATAACAATTATGCTATAAAAATTTCGGAATAATTTCGGCTACTATTAAATTAACTTAATATTAAGATGACATCTATGGTTTTGAGGGTAAATATTGAAACCCTGATTGGCTTAATGGGGACACTCCGACAATATCAATATTAATATTAATATTAATATCACAGTCGCAGGACATTGCAGATCAAATGTCATTATAACCGTTAACATAGCATGGAATATTAGTAATCACTTTATACCTAAATACATATTTAAAGGAATCAAATTTCTCCACCACTATTCATAAAAATTATTAAATAAAAAAATGAATAATAACTTTGGTTTAGGTTCTCGTCACCCACTTTACCGACAACGTGCGGCGTGATATTTTAGCATTTTTTAGTTGTTTGATTGTGTGGATGTTAAAAGTAACCCCGCGTGTTGTTGGTGAAGTGTCTCGTCGGTGAAGTGGGTGTCGGTAAAGTAACCCAGACCCCTTTATAATAATATCTATATATTATTGTATTCTTTTAATTCATTGATTTTAAACAAATGATCTTACAAGTATAGAGTCTAATATGACAAATGAATATGCCTTGCATGAATTGCATCTTGCACTATGAAGTGCGTCTGCATCACATCTTGCTTGAATGATTTTCAAATATCTTCATTTGAAATCCTATTTAAAGTAATAGTATGAAAACAAAAACAATAGGAAAAATAAATTTATACTTCAAATATCTTCATTTAAAATCCTATTTAATAGTATGAAAAACGATAAATAAATTAACAACTACTCAAAAAAACCAAATCTATTACGCGGATTTAAATTCTACCTAAAAAGCCTGAAATGAATATTACTTAACTATTGCATCTAAATTTACTATTTCAAAAGTTGAGATGTGCACATTGCCCAATTTCATTATATATAACAAATGTCCAACTTCATGTCAAGATTTTCTTAAAGAATTATTTGTTTACCCTAGCAAAAAATACATCAAAATAAAGGTTTTTTCACATATTTGTTATTTTTTATGATCCAAGTAACAATTGATTAAATCAGGCAAGTTTATGCATTAAAGCGTGATTTTTTTCTTCATTTTTTTATATAAAATTCCATGTGATCGAAAAATTTTTATTATAGTGGCAAAGACACCTAGTCCTTACAACTTTCTGCGCCACAGCGACAGTTTTTGAGAAAAAATTTACAATCAAAAATGCAATTTGCCACGCGTTTGTGCAGGATTTTATTCAGATAACTATGTGCATATAGATAATTAATTAGAAAATGGACATGGTTCTCAGTTTTTTTCTTGCCGTTATCACGTGATAAAGATCGACCATACAAATTTCAATTCCTCCACAACAACATGACATAATGAAGATGTAACTTTGTAAAGAAAGGTCTTAGCTCCAAAATTGCATCTCGTTTTTTTTTTGGTCATGCATTTCCATTTTTGGAGGAATTAAAGGATCCACAAAACCAATAAAAGTTGTATATAGGGACTAGGTGTCCTGCACTGTAGTGGGTTACATTTTGACCCCCTGTAGTTACGCAATATCCCGCGACTAATCAGTATTATTTGGATTAATGGAGAAAGATTAAATTATGATGTAAATATATAAATCTTTTTTATTTTGTTTATTGATTTAATATTATTATTAATTTAATATAGACAAGAATAGATCAGACAGTGTGAATATAATATGAGAAAAACATACATCATAATAAATAGATGTTCAGTGTTTTTGTTTCTATTATCATCATATCTATTTGTCTTATTAACTCAATAGTAAAATCAATATCCAAATTATATATAAATAAAATTATAAAATCATTATATTTTGTTTTGTTCTGGTTTTATTTTATTTAATAACAAATAAATTCATCTTTAATTTTAACTAATAATTTAAGCAACTAATGCACTTGCAGTTGAAGATTCACTATTAAAAAAAATTGGTTAGAAATGAGTTAAGGTCTAACATAATTAATCAATTATCAAAACAAAACAAAAGCCAAAATAAATTATTATCAATAAAATCAATAAGGATACTATTTCCAATTTGGAGGAAGTTGACCAGCAAGTTTATAATATCTGGAGAGACGGTGAATCCTTGATT